GATTTGTGGTTCCAAGGAACAGGAAAATATGGAGAGATCTCTCCCAGAGCCAGACTCTCATGGACAAAGCAAGAACTGAGGAAAGTTCTCGTTGGGTTTTTTGTAGTCGCCAGAAACTGGAAGCCACCCAGTTGTCCTTCAGTGAGTGAATGGATAAACTGGTACATTCATACTTGTACTATTGTTTGGAATATGACTCAGCAATAAAAAGAACTAATCCATGCAACAACTTGGATAGAACTCAAAGGTGTTATGCTGAGAGAGAAAAAGAAGCCACTCTCAAAAAGTTACTGTAAAAGGGGGTGGGAGCGGCCTGGGAGAGGTCAATGGGGGGGAAAGGAGACATATGTAATACTTTCAACAACAAAGAATTTAAATTTTAATTAAATACATAAAGTTACTGTATGGTTCCCTTTATATAGTATTCTTAAAAGTACATAATTATAATGATGGAGAACTGATCTGTAGTTACCATGGGTTAGAGTGGGAGAAGGAGCACGGCTATACAGGGCTAGTGCCAGGGCGTTTCTTGGAAGTTACAGCAGTTCCGTGTCCTAGTAGGGCGGTGATTACATGAATCTATATACGATAAAATGTCATAGACTGTGCCCCCAAAAAAGTGCATTTAAAAGCTGATGAATTCCAAGTCAGGTCTGAAGCTTTAGTTAATAACGTGCCAATGTCAGCTCCCTGGTCTTAACAGTTGTTATGTAAGATGTCACCGGGGAAGCTGGAGGGAGATACGTGGGAATTCTTTGTCCTATTTTGCAATTGTGAGTCTAAAATTATTTCAAAATAGTTTACAAAAATATGGAGGGGCACTGCAAGCAGCACTTAGGACTCTCTTCAGTTTTTACTAGAAAAGATAAAGCCTCAAGAATTATAAATTCTATGCAGTTTCTAAGCACTATAATTTCATTTGCTGTAATTTGGATTTGGAAATTATGCTGTTATTTTAAATACAGAATTTTAAAACATATTTTTGGCCCTAGCTGGTTTGGCTCAGTGGATAGAACAGCGGCCTGTGGACTGAAGGGTCCCTGGTTTGATTTCAGTCAAGGGCACATGCCCGATCCCCAGTAGGAGGTGTGCAGGAGGACAGCCAATCAGTGATTCTCTTTCATCGTTGATTTTTTTTTTTTCTCTCTCCCTCTCCTTTCTCCTCTGAAATCAATAAAAATATATTTTTTAAATTTTTTGTATTATTACAGCTATGTTGTATACATGAAAAAAAATTCCTTGGTGAGTTTCCCTCAGGATGAAATAGCTCCTGAACTCCTTACAGAGCTCCTGGCATGTGGCTTCCATATATATATATATATAATTTATTTCATTGATTTCAGAAAGGAAGGGAGAGAGAAAGAGAGAGAAAAACATCAATGATGAAAGAGAATCACTGATCAGCTGCCTCCTGCACATTCCCCACTGGGGATCAAGCCTGAAACCCGGGCATGTGTCCCAACCAGGAATCGAACCGTGACCTCCTGGTTCATAGGTCGATGCTCAACCACTGAGCCACCCCAGCTGGGCTCCGTCTACCTTTTTAACTGCATCTCCTTTTGTCCCCAATATTCATTCTGGGGTGAACTATTTGTAGTTCTCTTCCTCCTCCAAGTCCATTCCTCTTTCCTCTTGAATCTTAATTTGCTTGATAAGCTTCTCCTTCAAGACCAAACTCAAACTACAAAGCCTTCCCTGACCCAGGAAGCCGCATGCCATTCCTGCATCTGGGGGTTGTAGTGTAACGTGTCGCGCTTTAGTTATTTTCTTCACTTGTCTAGTTCCAGCCCTAGTCGGTGAATTCCTCAAGGGCCCAGACTGGGTCTCATTCCATCTTACAGGCCGCATGCCTGGCTCAGTGCCTGGAACACACACTCCCAAACATGAGTGAGCGTGTGTTAAAGTCTCTTAAATTCTTTAGTAATAATTTTTTCTATTCTACCCTATCTTAATAGAATAAAGTTTTTCAAAAGAAAAATTTCAAAGATCTAAAGAGATTCTGCTTAACCACAGAATAGTAAATGAATATTTAAAACATTCAGTCTAGTTAAGGCATTATAGTTAAATGTTTTCCCATTCTTTCTTTTTCTTCATTACACAGTGTTGTAGGAAGATTTAGAAAGACCGTGAGGTTTACTCATGAGCCTGCTTGGACAGAGGAGATCTAGAACTTAGGGATAGGATCTGGATTCTAAAGAGGAGGCCTGGGGTGTCAAGAGAAAGAACACAAGCCTATGTTAAATCTGTGTATCACTTCAAAGTTTTCTAAAAGACGTAAGGTGTTCTCCACTGTGCAGGCAGTCACTCTCCAAACCACCTGCCGTGCCGCAGGAGACACTCCTGACTTCCCTCCTCAGCGCCCTCATGACCTGGACTCCATAACTCTCTGCAGGCCTAGCTTCTGTCCTCAGCCTCCAGCAAGTGACTCAGTGTCTCTTCATTTGTTCTTGCACAATCTAATGACCATTTCTCCATCTCAGGTCTGGTAACTTCATTAAACAGAGTAGGTAACCTCCTCCTTAAGACTGGTCCCTCCCTGGGCTCCTGAGACACCACTGCCTCTCCACCTCCTCTCCTGATCGCATCCCCTGACATTCCTCTAAGATTGAATCATTGGTTTCATGCTCATTTTTAAAAATAAAAGTGATAATAAACATGTTTCCCATGTCCCAGATTTCCTACTTTCTCTTCACGGCTTCCTGACATTCTGTAATCTCTAAAGGCCCAATTTAGGAGCCACTTCCCCAGGAGCCATCTCACTACTGAGCCCCCCTCATCCTTTTATATTCTCCTGGAGCACTGAGAAGCCATATGTACTTTCACCAGTTAGTACCTCATATATTCTGGCCTGTGGGGTCTCTTGTTTTATGAATTACTCTTCTTTCTTCAACCAAACAAAGGCTCTTTAAGGACAAGACCCATGCCTTAAAATGGTCCCGTGTCCTCGTGGTGCCTCATGGCGTGGTTAGCACATTGTGTTCTGGCCAGTAAGCACTTGCTGATGGCGATGAAAGGAATGGTGCAATTGGGAGAGAGAAATATAAAGAAAACCTTTGAAATGTCCTTTCCCGCCCTGGCCAGTTTGGCTCAGTGGATAGAACGTCGGCCTGCGGACTCAAGGGTCCTAGGTTCGATTCCGGTCGAGGGAATGTATCTTGGGGAGTGTGCAGGAGGCGGCTGATCGATGTTTCTCTCTCATCGATGTTTCTAACTCTCTATCCCTCTCCCTTCCTCTCTGTAAAAAATCAATAGAATAAAAAAAATTAAAAAAGGAAATGTCCTTTCCCTTCTCGTAATGCTCAAGGGCCTAAATCAGATATGCACTGGAGCTGTGCAAAATCGAATCGTTCTTCCTAGCACAGTGTGATGGTCTGGAAAGAGCATAGGGCTTGGGTTCAGAGGTCTGGGTTCATGCTCTGGCCTGCCAGTGGTTGATCTTGAGCTTGAGCAAGTCTCTTAATTCCAGCCTTTACTTCCTCATATTCGAAACTGAGATAACCATCTAAGGCTTTCTGGAGACAAATGCTATAATCCACAGAGTAGCATTGGCGGTGGGGATTTCAGGCACCATGTGGACCAGGAGAGAAGCTGTTTGAAGTTAGGCAAGCCTTCTGGGACCCCTCCCATGCACGCCCCCACTGCGGGGCCCACTGTCTCCTGCAGGGCCGGCAGGGAGGGTAGAGTTCTGGGGTGTTCAGAAGGACATGCATTCTGTGTGAGAGAGGACAGAGAATCTAACACCGAACATGGTCACGTTTGTTCTGGACATCATCAGAATAGACTTGCTGGTGGAAAGGTTAAGGGATTGTATGAGCCGTCTGTCAAAAAGGCAAGGAAATAAAGTGAGGATTCTGAGAGGGATTGGCTGTGAGTGGGAGGAGCTATGAGAGCAGAGAAGGGCTGAGCCTGGGTCAAGGAAAAGTAGGCTGAGCAGCGATGAATCCAGGTGCTCCAGAGGAGGGCGAGCATAGCGCTGTGCGTGGTGACAGCTGTGAGCCGGACAGCCTGAGGAGCGTCATTCTAAAGGAAAATAGAGTGGCCTGTGCCTCAGAGGAGCAAGCGTGCTTTGGAAGCACGAAGCGTCCTGAAGGAAACAGCAGGCTCGTTAGGGCTATAGAAACGAATGTTCCCTCAGCATGGCACAGCCTTGTTCCCTCTCTCCTCAGGCTAGCCATAGATGGGCCAGCAACCACCCCCCAGAGCAGGCGCGGGAGAGGGGCTCCCCCACCCTGTGGGGGTGCACAGAGCTGGGCTGAGAGGCAGTCCTGACCCGGGAGTCCTCCCAGCAGGTTAACAAGTTCTGTTCTCAGAACCGTCCTAACGCCCTGCTCTGAGGAGCCTGGCAGCACCTTGTAGTTCCTCTCTTACTTTGCCTCAGAGGAAGAGCTGTTTTCAGTCTCTTGCGAGCGTCTGGATGTGCGGCCAGAGAGTGCAGCTAGCGTTCCACTCTCCTCCCTTCTCCTCAGGGCAACAAACAAGAAATGAGGCCACACAGCCATCCTTTCTGCGCCTCCCTGTCACCTGAAACCCCACACTGTGCTTTAACCTCTCCCATCCATTCATTCAATCAACAAATATTTACTGAGCAGCTATTATGTACAGGGCCTTGAGCCAGTGCTAGTTAAAGAAATGGGCTGCATAACTGGTCTGTCTTTGCGGCCACACCCAAAAGCCAAGCCTGTCCTACTCTCCCTGCTCAGGACCCCAGCAGAGGTCTGTGGGGAGTGTGTTCAGGGCGCAGAAAAGAATGTGAGTCAGATACGCTAGTCATTCTCTGCCTGCTGTACAGGTTGCTCAGTCCCCAAAGTCAGGGTGGTGTTGAACCCCTGGTTCCCATAGACAGGGTCCCTCACTAACCTCCCAACATCCCCGTGCTCAGTAGTTGTCATCGCTCTGATTCTCAGACCTGAAAACTGGGCTTGGAGATATCAAACCACTTACTCAAGGTCTCTCAGGCCGAGAGCAGCAGAGCCTGCAGCCAGCCAAGCCACCTCTTCTGCCAGGACACCTCGCTTCACCCAGGCACGGCTTCCAGGAGGCTGCTGCTGGTCGCCTTGGGTCGATGGACGCAGATGTTTGAGGAACTGGAAGATCTCCAGTGGAGAACCTTTAGGAAGAATGGCTTACCGGTCTCTCTGCTCACCTAGATGAACCTACTGAAATGGGTTAATGGTAGCGAGTGGTGAGTTCTGTTTACTCCCCTCCTGGGTTTCCGCTAACGCTTTGAGATGGAGACAGAGCAGTCTGGCCAGAACTCCCCAAAGGTCTCCTTCCCTGGACAGCAGCTACAAGGGGTCTGGCAGCAGCATCCAAACCAACTTGGAGGAAGCCTCGTTAGGAGTTCAGATCATCGTTCAGCAGGTCACGTCCGGGACTCCAGCGGCTGGGGCCTCAGTGGGATTCAGGGTCTTAAGGAAGAGCTACATGACCTAAAAGTGTTCTGAGAACAGAACCCTAGAGAAGCTCCAGTCCTCATCTGAACCTTCACCGTCCAGCTCCCAGTCCTGATCGGCTGTGTGGGCACATACTGGTTCCCTGGCAGCCCGGACTACTCCACCTGCCCCATCTCTACCTTTGACTAATTCTGCTCTGAGAGGCCGAGCCTCCCTATGAGTCAGGTCTTTGCTCAGCCATGAGAAGAAGGTGATTGGCTGGGTCTGCCAGGGCTTTGTGACCCGCTAGCCAGGCTCCCCCTGTCCCTCAGCACCCTTCATCCCTGCCTGCACATATTGCCTCCATGTAACCCCAGAATAACCTTGATGTCTGATCCCAGGGGGCAAGGGAGAGCAATATCGCAGATTTTCCAAACAGGTGACTTCAACTCCCCTGGGCCTGGACGGAAGGGGTAGCCCAGTGACAATGGGCATAGCCCCATGTCAGGAGCAGGAAACGTTTGGCAGGCTCCGCAGAGTTCTCTCTCTCCTGATCCCACAGCATCTGTTCCAGTTTTCCTGGCCGGTAGGATGGCATCTACAAAGCAGAATCTAAGAAAAATCTAGAGTTGGGGAGGTATTGTGGTCACAGGCCAACCTTCAGGAAGCCAGGCCTCTTTCCAGGCCGAAGGGGCAGAGAAAAGCACAGTGTGTAGTCCCCCCTGGACTGGCACCTTGGACACCCGAAGCTGATGTGCATTGGGCACCTGCTTCTCAAACAAGTGCCTTGATTTCTCGCTGCCTGCCCAGTAACGCTGATAACACTCGCCTGGTGCTTACTGGGTGCCAGGCTCTGCTCAGCACTTTGTATACATGGCTCAGTTAATCTTCATATCAGCTCTAGGAGGTGGGAACTGTTACTGTTCCCATTTTATAGATGAGGAAACTGAGGCCCAGTGTCAAACAGCTAGGATTGGGTAGAGCCAGGATTGAAACTCAAGTGGTCTGACTGGAGACCCAGTATTCTTTAAGCAGCATCCTCCAGAGCAGGGGTGGGCAAACTTTTTGACTCGCGGGCCACAATGGGTTCTTAAACTGGACCGGAGGGCCGGAACAAAAGCATGGATGGAGTGTTTGTGTGAACTAATATAAATTCAAAGTAAACATCATTACATTAAAGGGTACGGTCTTTTTTTTTTTTTAGTTTTATTCATTTCAAACGGGCCGGATCCGGCCCGCGGGCCGTAGTTTGCCCACGGCTGCTCTAGAGCCTGCTGGCAGCACACCCAGCACCCACTTCAGGAGGGAAAGACCTGGTTTGTCTTTCATTGTCATTCTGGGCAGAGGGTAGAGGCCTGGGAACGTCAGAGGGGTCCTCTAGGGACCAGAGAATTAAAGAAGACTGTGGGGCCCTGAATTATCTTCAGGATATATTTGTAGAAGACAGATTTCCACTGAAGACTGAAAAACAAAAAGCCAAAATTAGATTTGGTCTGGTGACAAGGTTCTTAAATATTACATGTGAAATTTCAGAATTATGCAGACTTGGTTATGCTTTAGGAATATAAAGACCTAGATCTATGTGCAGTCCTAAGTGTCTGGGAAGGAACTGGATGATCTCTCAGAACTCTTCCGGCTGTGGGATGAGATTTGGTCAAGATGACCATTTGCAAGGCCTCAGGCAGAATGACCGTCCGCTCCACCCCTCCTGATGAGAGCTAACACAGCCTTTCTGTCAGTCAATGCATCGTGACCCTAGCTTAGGAAATGATTTAGCAGAATCACCAGATTAAACCTCCTCAACCTTTCTGTCCCATGACTGCACCCCTGGGAGCAGGAGTCCAGACCCTGCAGAGCAGGCTTTCCCCAAGGTCACGTCCTCTGTCTAATCCTGAATGGTATTTCAAGGGCCCTAGAGGATGACATGTCAACCAAATTGGGGTTGTTTCTTGTGGCAGTCACCATGTCCCAAAGAATATGGTAGAAACATGGGGACTGGGTTGGAAGACCCCACTATTTAGCCCTCGAACAGAGCCTCCCCTCTCTGGGCAGCCCTTGCCAAGGAGTATGTTAACTTTAGAGTTTTCTCAGACTATGTCTCTACTCTAATGGGAGGCGACTGGTCTTCTTAGGGCCAAATGCTTGAGCAAATGCTTTATATACCTCTGCCCCCAGAAGCTGGTCTGGTTTGAGTCTAGGCCTGAGTCAGCCCCGAATAAAAAAAGTTGGACCTGTGGATGAGTTTAACATGTGACTTGGGGGAATAGGGAAGTTGGGTTAGTTTAGTCCCGAATCTTAGAGCAGACCCAATCCTAAGCCATTCCAGTTGGTCCAGCCCTTCTTAGAGCTTCCCAGGAAGAAGCACTCCATCATCCCCCCTGCCCTGGCACTACCAACTTTTGACCCAGACAGGCTCCTCTGTGGGGAACCAGATCAAATTTAGGGGCCCTCCTTTTCTAAATGAAGCTAGGGAGAGGGGGGTTGGAGGATGAGGAAACATTAGAGTCTTTGCTCAGGACCTGGGTGCCACCTGCTGGCCATAATTTAGTTGTACTGTATTTACAGGGCCAAATCTGTAAGATTTGGAGAGGAAAATTAAGAGGGCATCCGGCCATCCCTGTCATATGAGGGGTAAGGGAACTGCTTTCTTGGTGACCTTTGAACAAGTGTGACAGAGAATCCTTGCTGAGACCCCGGGTGCCTCGAGGAATTCTTCTGAGCCACAATGGACCCAGTCAGGGCAGGGGTGGCATCACTTGAAGACCCTGAAGCCGTCCTGAGTGGAGGCAAGGGCACCGATCCTAGTATCAGATGAGGACTGTGGTTCTAATCCCTGGTCTGCTTGGGCACCAGTATCACCTGCAGTGTTTTTTAAAATTACATATATGTAATATATGTATATGTATACATATGTATAAATATATATGATATACTATATATTCTACATGGTGTATTGTATTATACTAGAGGCCCAGTGCATGAATTTGTACACCAGTGGGGTCCCTCGTCCTGGCCTGCGGACCGGGCCGAAACTGGCTCTCCGACATTCCCCGAGGGGTCATGGATTGTGAAAGGGCACAGGCCAGGCCGAGGGACCCCACCAGTGCACAATCAGGGCCAGGGAGGGACACAGGAGGTTGGCCAGCCGGGGAGAGACCATGGGAGGGCTCCAGGGTGTGTCCGGCTTATCTCCCTCAGTCCTGATCTGCTGGACCCCAGCAGCAAGCTAACCTACTGGTTAGAGCGTCTGCCCCCTGGTGGTCAGTGCACGTCATAGGGAGTGGTTGAGTGGCCTTAGCATATCATTAGCATATTACGTTTTGATTGGTTGAACAGCTGACCGGTCGACCGAACACTTAACATATTAGGCTTTTATTATATAGGATAGTGTATTATATAGTTATATACATAACATAGGGTCTATTATGTATGATACTATATAATAGACAATAAATAGAATAGTTACATATAATATGTATAGTTATTCACATATGCATGCACACGCATGACTTGGGCTTCACTCCAGCCTATTGGAAAGTCTGCAGGAGAAGCCCAGGTCCTCTCCCAGTGCAAAGCCTCGGGAGTGCATGGCTATGTGTCATTCCCTTTTGGTTCCAGACCAGACCTGATAAAGCAGCAGAATAGGTCTGGACAGGGAAGAGGGCTGGGTGCATTCTTCCTTCAGGGACACTTTGCATATTAAGCCTAGAGGAATATTCTTCACTCCAGAACTACGCACCGTCACAATCCTGAGTACATAGTCCTTCAGTCTATCTTCTCTTTCTCCATTTCTGATAAAGTCTAGTTACAAGAAACATCTCCCTCCTCCCTTCACAGTGCATGTCAGCGATAACAGCTGGCACTTGGCCTTTGCTGGGGAGATTTGGGGAGGGGCTTCCACCTGCTCTGCTCAGCTCCAACGTAGGTTCTGTGCAGGGAGCATGGGCCCAGGATCGCTAGAAGAGGCCAGAAGTCCCAAATTGTTTGCGTGACGCGTCCCAACTTTAAAATAATGGGCACTGATTCAAAAATGTTTCCAGCACCGTGAGTTCTAGAGTTCAAGTCTGCAAGGCAAATTTTGCCAATGGGTGTCTCCTCTGTGGCTGCTGATTGCCAGGGCTTTAAGCCAAGAGTGATGTGGCCAGGGCTGCGTTTAGGTAGGTTCTGACTGCAGTCGTGTCAGGGGGGCCTGGGGGAGACCGGAGGCTGCAAGGCCTTCCAGGAGGCTTCTGCTGGCCTTGGCCAGAGAATGTCCACATAACCCCCAAGGTGGCAGGAGAGATGGAGAAGAGCAGGGCCATTGGCAGAGTTGCAGGACTTGATTCGATATGAGGATGAGGGGGAGTGGGCTATCTAGCCTGGTGACTGGGGGACTGGTGGTGACATGGGGATAATGAATACAGGAGCAGAAGCATGTCTTTTTTAAAAATATATATTTTTTTATTGATTTCAGAAAGGAAGGGAGAGGGAGAGAGAGAGAGAAACGTCAGTGATGAGAGAGAATCATTGATCAGCTGCCTCCTGCAGGCCCCCACCTGGGATCAAGCCCGCAACCGGAGCATATGCCCTTGACTGGAATTGAACCCAGGACTCTTCAGTCCACAGGCTGATGCTCTATCCACTGAGCAAAACCAGCCAGGGCCAGCAGCATGTCTTAAGGTTCTGGACAAGCAGAATGTAGGTGCCCCTGGGTCAGCCAGCAGGCCACACACCACAGGCCCCACAGGAATATGGGATCTGGTCAGGCAAAGGTTAGCTGGCTTTCTAAAACACAATCTGGCCAGGACAGTGTCTGCTTAAACACCTTCCCATTGTCTAAACAGAAGGTCAGACTCCTCCTCCCATAAACAAAGTCTTTCGTGATCCCTGCCAATCACGCTGTGCCATGCTCAACACGAGCCTGCTCCCCAGCTCCGCCGAGCCACTGGGAGCCCTGGAATAAGCCATGCCCTTGTTCCTGCAGTGCCTTCTACATCCCTTTGTATGTTTGGAAAATTCCTACTCCTTCCACTCCACGTCTCCGCTTGGAAGCCTTTGCTGGCCTGCCAAGCAGAAGCGGTCCCTCCCTCTTTGTGCCGTCCCTGAACTTTGCATGTGCCCTGATGTGTGGGGATTTGCCTGTCTGTAAACTCCTTGAAGGAGTGACCACATCTTAACTTTGTTGCACCCGTTCTCAACACGCCTCTAGCATATAGGAGATGCTCATTAGATGTTTAAAGAATGAAGAGGTCCCCTCTCCAGGAGGGAAAATGCAAGGCTGTCTGGAGGAAGACAGCTCTCATTCCCCAGGGATCATCCCACGCCTGCTCTCCTAACAGCTAAAGAGCAGCACGGGTCCCTGGTGCTGACCTTGCTTCTCTTCGTTCTTTGCAGCTGGGGTATGGCCGTCAATGTGTACTCCACATCCGTGACCAGTGAGAATCTGAGTCGCCATGATATGCTTGCGTGGGTCAATGACTCCCTGCACCTCAACTATACCAAGATAGAACAGCTCTGTTCAGGTAGGAGGCTGGGAGGGGGAAGTGGGCCCTGCTGGAGGGGAGGCAGGAGGCAAGACAGACACAGCAGAGATTGTAACTTGTAATTAGGGTTTAGGAGGAGAGCTGCAGAGCCCCGAACTAGTCGGTGTTTGGAGCTGAAGGGCCTCCACGGATAGGGAAGAGCAGGAGGGGCACAGGCAAGGGCTGCAGGAGGGGCAGGGCAATGGCACAGGCAGTGAAGCCAGGGGCTGACAGACAGCAGAAGGGCCAGCCCAGCCACTTGGGTCCAAACCTCAGCTCTTTTTATAGTGCAACCCTGGGCAATCACTACACCTCTCTAGGCCTCAGTTTTCCCATCGGTAAAATGGAGATTATATCACCTATCTCACTAGGATTACTGTTAGATTAGATTACATAATGTAGTGTTTGCTATGGTGCTGGCACATAATTGCATCAATAAGTAGTAATTGCTCTTATTCTTGGAACGCTGGGGGATTCTGGTGGCGTCTATCCTGCGAGTAGGACTGGCCACACCCCAGAACAAGGAGAGAAATGAGGAGCTGGGTGGTTTGGGGGAGTAGGCTGGCAGAGGGGCTGGCTGAAAGGGAAGCAAGCAGCCTCGGCAGGGGAGCGGCCTGGACCCTCGGTCAGCCCTGCTTCTCCTCAGGGGCAGCCTACTGCCAGTTCATGGACATGCTCTTCCCTGGCTGCGTGCACCTGAGGAAGGTGAAGTTCCAGGCCAAGCTAGAGCACGAGTACATCCAGAACTTCAAGGTGCTGCAAGCCGCTTTTAAGAAGATGGGTGTTGACAAAGTAGGTGCCTGTGCTCCCAGGGCCCTGAGGAGCTGTGTGACCTTGGGAAGAAGGCGGCCCACCAACAGGGCAAAGGGCCCTTCCATCTGCGCCTCTCTCCACCCCCTGCTCTCCGAGGAAATGTTCCCCAGCTCAAGGCACAGTGGGAACCCCACATTCTTCCCATCCCATCCCAATGACATGCCTGCCCCTTCCTCCTCTCTGGACCATATCCACCCATTGAGGCTTGGTACTCCCATTCCTTCCTTCCCTAGGGCCCAAGAAAAGGCTTTTGCTCACCTCCTGCCTCGATGGCCCCAGGCCCTTGGCTCCAGCAGCCCCCACCCCCCATGGAGGCAGCAGCACCACAGCACTCCCCCCACCCAGTTTCTCCTGTGTCCTGGAGCCATGGGAGGGGCAGCCACTGCAGCCAGGGGCTGGCTCTCCTGAGAGCGGGCCCTCACAGAGGAAGGCAGCCCTCCATGCAGGTGGCTAAAGTTCTCTGCTTATGTGGTCTGTTTCAGATAATTCCTGTAGAGAAATTAGTGAAAGGAAAATTCCAAGATAATTTTGAGTTTATTCAGTGGTTTAAGAAATTCTTTGACGCAAACTATGATGGAAAGGAATACAACCCTCTGCTGGCGCGGCAGGGCCAGGACGTAGCGCCACCTCCTAACCCAGGTGATCAGATCTTCAACAAATCCAAGAAACTCATTGGCACAGCAGGTAACATGCTGGGGGAGGGAGTGTGTGGGGCCGGGCCAGCCAGGAGTGCCTCCTGGGCCACTGCCCGCCCGGCCCTGCCCGCCTAGAGGAGACTGTTATCACGGAGTTCAGATGACGCCGCCTGCTGCCCCCTTAGACCAGGGGGAGTCACGGCAGGGAGGAGAGGGCTCCAAAGATGGCCACAAAAGGAGAGCCACTGGCACCAGCCAAGGTGGCAGCCGGCGGTAGGAGGCCCAGGCCCTTCCCTCTGCAGCAGGAGCTGACAGGTTTGCCTCGAGATGACGGGGCAGCACGTGGCATGGTTCCTCCGTCCAGGTCCATCCAGGCCAAGGGCCTGGTGCCGGCACTACACATCCTTTTGCCCCTGCCCACTGGACGCCCGGGGACGGGACTCTGCCAGGCTTGGTCATATCTTCCCCCATTCCACAGGCCCATAGTCCTAAGTCCTCAAGAGACGAGCCTCTGGAAACAAGGCTTTGTTGGGGTTCTAGAGAAGAAGGGAAAGAAGCATAGGGCTTTGGGGGACGGGAGGGTCGGGAGAGAAGGGGAGCGGAGCGGCCCCAGCCCGCATCTGAACCCGTCATAGCAGAGCCCTCCTGTTTGCGCTGCTGCCCCGCCTGGGCCTGGCCCCCTCACCTGCTTGCTTTGCGTTAGAAGCAGCGGCTCTGCCTAGGGAGCTGCCCAGCTAGAGAGCAAGAGCCACAGCATGCTTGTCCTGAGGCAGGCAGCCGGGAGGGGCAGGGCAGGTGTCTTTTCTGTCCTCCAGTCCCGAGACTCGGAGGTCACCCATATGGAGAGTGGCTTTGGGCTGCCAGGAGAACTAGATCGAGACCCTGCCCCAGCTGCTCTCCCTCGGGCTTCAGCTGTCAGTACAAGAGGCGCCAACCCTCCCAGCCCCACTTCCCCAGTTCCCTAACCCTGTTTCCCTCATGTCTCCCTCCGCCAGCTCTCCTCCCTCCCCACACCTCACCTTCCTCAGTTCCCTGTAGTCCTTGCTCTCCCAGGCTTGCAAAGGGCTGCCCAGCTGCTATGGTGTCATGTGTGGCCGTGGCGTAAGGCCTAGATGTAGAGCCCCGAGTGGGAGAGGAGAGGAGGGCAGAGCGCCTGCCTCTAGCAGGGGCCTGCCGCACACTCGTCACACCAGGCCGTCTCCTGCCACGGGGGCTCTGGGCTCACATGGCCCCTCCGAATTTCCTCCCCCGCGCAGTTCCACAGAGGACGTCCCCCACAGGCCCCAAAAACATGCAGACCTCTGGCCGGCTGAGCAACGTGGCCCCCCCCTGCATCCTCCGGAAGAATCCCCCATCGGCCCGAAACGGCGGCCATGAGACTGATGCCCAAATTCTTGAACTTAACCAGCAGGTGAGTGGGGTGGGCGGGGGTAGCTGAGACAACCCTGCCTCCACAGCCAGGCCCGCGGGTGTCAGGGTGGGAAGGGGAGCCTGAGGCGGGACCTGGGCTGGAACCCCACCTTCGCCCACGCAGCTGTTGGATCTGAAGCTGACCGTGGATGGGCTGGAGAAGGAGCGTGACTTCTACTTCAGCAAACTCCGAGACATCGAGCTCATCTGCCAGGAACACGAGAGCGAGAACAGCCCCGTCATCGCGGGCATCATTGGCATTCTCTATGCCACCGAGGTGAGCCCTGCCTGCACCCACCAATGTCCCCGGTCCCCTGGGCCCTCCCCCATCCCGCCTGGCCTAAGACGGGAAGAGACAGGACCCGAAGGAGCTTTGGAGAACATGGACGGTGAGGGCAGCGTGCTGCAGTCACAAGCCCCAGGTCACAGAGCGTTAGCAGGGAAAGGACTGGAACCTTGCTCCCCAGCTACCTATACAATCCACACCTCCGCCCGCCTGCCTGGCTCACCCTGTCCTCTCCCTTCCCACCTCCAGGAAGGCTTTGCACCCCCTGAGGACGACGAGATTGAGGAACACCAACAAGAAGAACAGGACGAGTACTGAGGGCGGCTCCAGCCCTGGCTGACTGCACGCCCCCTACCCCACGCCCACCCCCACATTATAATCCTTTCCTTAGAGCGTCGGCCGGGTGCTTTGTGTCAGTGCCGCAGCATTGGGGAGTCAGGCGAGGGGGCTGGAGGGGATGGGGCAGATGGGCAGGCAGAGGCCCGCACTGGCCAGTGGGTGGGACCCCTGCCCATTCCCCACCCCTATTTATTTCCGTTGTCTCTATGCTGTTTCGGCCAACACTTCCCAGGGTGCTGTGCCACCCGCCCCCGCCAGCCGCCTGCTCCCCTGACAGCCAGCAGCTGTATATTTGACAAAGTCATTGGTATATTTTTACTTACTGGATTTTCCTTGCACTTTACCTGTTCTTTTCCCAGGGCTCACAGCATGGGCTCCAGGGCAGTGTGCCTGGCTTGGCTTCCCTTCCCCATTGCCGGGCCATGGCAGGACTCACAATTCTTATTTATTTTGTCTTTTGACTCCCCAGTAGTTGAGGGGAAGGCTGATGTCAGGAGAGGGAGAGGGGGACTGAGGAGAGGGTGCCTTAGGCCTCGGTGGTCAGGGAGAGGGAGGGGAGCATGCGAGGGATGAAAATGACCCCCTGGCACCAGACTCACCCACCCTGGGCCCCTTTCCCCCAGCCCCAAAGCCCAACACTGCCCCGAGGCCCCCAGCCACTCCCTCTGCAGCCCATTCATACCACACAGACTCTGCCCTGACCCTCCTGTACGTCTGCCTCCCATCCCCCCACCTCCCCACCCCTGCCTCCTTGGGCCACCCAGCCTGTGTATGTGTTCACTTTTATTTAAATAAACTTGTGTGGTAAAAGTCCATGCCATGTCTCCCTCAACTGAGCTACAGCCTGGGTCTCAAAGCTTTGTTCTTCCTGAGCACTCCCCTCCCAAGGCCATGGCCCTGCGCACAGCACCAGGTGGCCTTCCCTCATGTCTGCACACCATCGCTGGCACTTGGCCTCCGAGCCCAGCCCTGACCCAGCCCCCATCTCCCAACACTGATGCCAGGGCTCTAAGACAGACTTGCCTACCCCCAGTCCCTGAGGAAGAACAAGGTTTGGAGCCATGGTGGTGAGGATAGGCAGCCCAGTAAAGGGGCAGGTGGGGATGTGGGCGAGGGGGTAACAGGGTGGCCTGGCCAAGGGGCCAGTTAGACTTCATGCTGTCCCCACCTTTGTCAAGGCTCACACCCCCCAGAACAGTGATCCAGCCGGGAACAGGGCTCATCAGACAGAGAAAGCTGAGTGGGTTACAAAGAGTAAGCAACTCTGAGCACTGAAGTCCAGAGGACAGCAGTGCCCCTGAGGCTCCTTCTACAGAACACGGTCTCATGGGAACCAGGCTCAGGAAGCTTTCACATCATCCACACAGCCCTGCCTGCCTGGTGTGTGTCCCAGCAAAGGGCCGAACTAACCAATGTCCTGGATGTCCAACAAGCGCTACCGGGCCATTCAAATGAAGCCGTGCTGTCATGCAGGCCAGCGCCTTCATTTACTGATGAAGGGACCAAGGCCCACCTGGGGCATCCCTTACTCAAGGTGGTAAAAGCCTGGACCAGAATTCACACCTCCAGGCTCATGGTTGAGGACTCACCCCCAAAGACCACAGAGGTATTGCCCCCAGAATGTTCCTCTGGTTCAGGCTAGACCCGGTAGCTGTCTCTTCACCATCCTGAGAATGACCGAGCTACAGTTGGGGCTGCTGCTGCTACGGCCCTGCTCCATGACCCTTCTTCCAGAGGACCCCCATTCTCTAATGGCTCCAGGCAGAAGCCTAAGATAAGCAACTCTTGCCTGCTCATTCCTCATTCACTTCTCCTCCTCCTTTTGACTCCCACCCCACATACAGACACTTCTGGCTTTATTTTATCGCTCTCTCTTTCTCCTCGAACAAGTTCGTTGCCTGCTTTTATTGATCCTTTTTTAAAACTATATTTTTATTGATTTCAGAGAAGAAGGGAGAGGGAGAGAGAGAGAGAAACATCAATGATGAGAAAGAACCTTGATTGGCTGCTTCCTGCACACCCCACACTGGGGGATCAAGCCCGCACCCCAGGCATGTGCCCTGACCAGGAATGGAACCATGACCTCCTGGTTCATAGATCAATGCTCAACCACTGAGCCATTGAGGCTGGGCTGCTTTTATGGATCTTTGTGATTTTTTTAATCCCTTGCCTCATTTTAAAAGGCCTTTCCTCCTTTATAGTATCCCAAGTAGATACTATAGAAGGATACAGTGGTTGTTCTGCGTTGTCCAGTGTTCATCTTCAGGCCCAGACCTCACCCTGCTGATAAAGTAGGTGTGGTGGGCAGAATAATGCCTCCCCCCAAAGCTGTCCACATAATTCCCAGAACCTGCTAGGTTGCATAGCAAAGGGGAATTACGGTTGTAGATAAAATTAAGTTGCTAATCAGTTGACCTAAAAATGAGAGAATCCTGGGTTATCCAGGTATGAATCTCATCCTCACATGTAGGAATGTATACAAAATAGCACGTTTCCTTAATTGTGATAAATTACTTTCACTTCACCTTCCCACCTTCCCTCGTCCTCCCCTGCTGGGAAGCTTCAAGCTTTGTGGTCTCACATTATATTACAAGCAAGGCAGGAGGCCCTCCAGGGATAGTCAGTGTCTGAGCAGTCACCTGTTGGAGTGGTTCCTCAGGTTTGTTTGTTTGTTTTTTAATTTATTTGTATTGATTTTAGAGAGGAAGGGAGAGAGAGATAGACACACCAATGATGAGAGAATCATTGATCGGCTGCCTCCTGCACATCCCCTACTGGGGATGGAGCCCGCAGCCCAGGCATGTGCCCTTGACAGGAATTGAACCTGGGACCCTTCAGTCCACAGGCCGACGCTCTAGCCACAGAGCCAAACCAGCCAGGGCAGGTCTGCGGCTTTTGATCACTTCCCTGCCACGTCTGGGACTTGGGACTGACAGCAGCCAGAGCCAGAGCCGCTTCTTTTCCATAGTCTGCAAGAGGAAACCCAGCCCTGGCTGTCCCAGAGCCCCAGACTCTTCTCTGCCTCCATGCAAAGAACTCTCCACTCTCCACTCTCCACCCTCCAAAAAGGGCCTCTTCCCTCGAGCTCCATCCTCTTCCCTGTTCCTGCACAATAGATTTTTACAGCCCATTAAACTCAAAGTTTAATCACCAGCAACAGAACACGAAGACTTTCCTAGAGCGAAGGAAGCGTTTAATCTACAAACTCTCCTGGAGGGAAAGAGAACTGTTTCTATGCCATCCTCCTAGCACTACGAGAAAGAAAAAGCACGTCAGCTAAATTAGCAAGTCACCTGATGCAGCGACCCTCACACAGTAGATGCTCCATGACAGTTCCCTAAGCGTAACAGCCTCTGTCTCAACACCTTTGGAAGTTGGTTGCGGCGAAGGAGCCCAGACGCCCGCCCCCACCCACACCCCCCCACCTCTCGCTAGCGATAACCTGGCAAAACCGAAAGACTACAAGTCCCAGGCTGCCTTGGGGCGGCGTCACGCGCCGCGAGGCTCTGCAAAGAGACGTGGCAGAGCGCGGCGCGTGCACTCCAGCCGGAAAGCCCGGGGAGGTGGCCGACCGCGGCGGGCGGGTTGGGAGCCATGGCGGCGATCACGGCGGGTGCGGGGCGCTGGGAGGTGGTGAAGAAGGGCCGGCGGCCGGGGGCCGGCGGCGGCGGCGGGCGAGGCGGCGGAGCGGACCGCCGGACCCTCGGGGAGGCGAACGGCGTGTGGAAATACGACCTGACCCGTGAGTACCCACCCGGCCCGCCGCCGCCCGGACCCGAGCTGGCCGCTCCCGGGGCTACCGAGCAGCTGACCTCCCCGGGTTCCTCCAGGCGCGAGCCGTCCTGCCGATCGGCGCCTCGGGTTCAGCGAGCGCGACCCTTGCCTTGCCTCTTGAGCCTCACACATCACATGGCAGCCAGCGTGAGGGAGGTTGCTGCCCTGGCCTCGCAGATGCGCGCACTGAGGTCCAGTGGAGTGAGATGCCCAGAGTCACCTGTCAGAGGGACAGGGATTCGGGTCTGCACGCCGGGCTCCCCGCACACACCGAGCAGCTGTTGCCGGCCCAGCCTGGCTTCTCCGGGCGGGTGTCCGAGAGCGGGGAGGAGGCATGCTCGCTCATGATATAAGGTGCCCCCTCCTCAGGGACCAGCGGGCGGGTGAGGGGAGGGCGCACAGGGGCCCCCGCCGCGGAGCCATGCCCACCGCACGCTAGACACCCGCCAAGCTTTACTCTCCAGAGGCGTGGAGAACGCTTGCCACTTGTTGATTAGCGAGTTGTCACATCTGAACCCAGAGGAGCTGGGGTAGAACCAAGATGTGCAAACCCTGACCTCCCAGACTCCTAATCTCTCACCAAAGGAGCCAGCCCTCTGCCCCCCAGCCCTCCACTAGCTCCCGCATCCTCCGATTTAGTAGCAGACGCCTCATCTCTGCGGAAGGCTCAGGAGCCCGCTGTGGTGGCTGCAAGGCCCAGCGGGGAAGGCTCCCTGGCCTGCTCCCTTAGCAGGACAGCAGGGAGGGGCTTTGCGGCAGCTCCTCCCTGGAGGTGAATCAGGTGCCAGGTGGGAGAAGGGACCCCTGTTCCCATGGGGTCCTCCTGACCCGAGGGTGGCCCCTCTTTCTCTGCCTGCCACCACCTCAGCTCCCATCCAGACGACCAGCACCCTTTATGAGCGGGGCTTTGAGAAAATCATGAAGAAGCAGAATAAGGAGCAGGTTCCACCCCCCGCTGTGGAGCCAAAGAAACCCTCCAACAAAAAGCAGACTAAGAAGGTGGCGACCCTCACCAACCAGAACCAGAAGCAGGGCCGCTTCCGCAGCCTGGAGGAGGCACTGAGAGCTGTGAGTGCCCCTCGCCTGTGGGTGGGGGAAGAAGGGGGACCTGAGTGTGGAGGAGACGACAAGCGGGGAGGAGGACGGGCAGCTGATAGCTGATGGGACGCTGTTGGCCGAGAGGAGGCATTCGGGGAAGTTCGGAAACCCCACCAATTAAAGTAGGTGTGGTAGGCGGAATAATGCCCCCCCCAAAGATGCCCACGTAATTCCCAGAACCTGCCAATGTGTTGGGTTGCATAGCAAAGGGGACTTAGGTTGTAGATAGAATTATTGCTCTCAGGATAAGAAGGACATGAGAAGCTCGGAGGGAAACATGGATTAGTGAGAAGGGCGCCTGGAAGCCCAGAGACTCGAGGGAAGGTTAGAGAAACTGCTTTTGTTTCCTCGCCCCTGGGAGCTTCTTGCCTTTTGTTTTTTCCCCTTGAACATGTGAAGGGCCTAAGAGTACTGGTCCTGGGGGTCAGTGGTTCCAGTTTTCCTAAACTCTCTAAAGATCTGGATGCAGCAAAATTGTGGCACTCCACATCCTTATGTTGAAAAGCAGAAACCCTTTGTTCCTCCTCCTGCAACTGACCGTGTGGGGCCTGTGTCCCTGGCAGCTGGACGTGGCAGCTCTGCAGAAGGAACTGGACAAGAGCCAGAGCGTGTTCTCTGGGAACCCGTCCGTGTGGCTGAAGGACCTGGCCAGCTATCTCAACTACAAGCTCCAAGCCCCTCTCAGTGAGCCCACACTAAGCCAGCACACTCACGGTTAGTTCTCTCGGCTCCCTCAAGCTCAGACAAGTTCAAGAAAATCCTGAAATGGCTGTGCGTAAGCCCATTGCTTAGTAACAGACCCCAGTGCTCCCCACCGCCCTGATTTCCATGGGTGGAGCTGTTCTCAAACCATCATGCTGTGAACGTTTCTGGGCCTTATTGGGGTAGGGAGGGTGCCAGCCTCCGTGTGGACCTCGGCTCCACTCACCGGCCTCGGAGCACAGCTGGCAGAGGCCTCTGGTCC